TTGTTCTGCCTACACTCGGTCTCCACGGGTTGTTGGTATCTTGTGGTCTGTGCCAATCTGCCCAGCCCACAGCGTGCACGCAATGCGTGTTTGCTGCAGTGCGCTAAAATAGTTCAGAAAGCAGGTTCTGTCAGTGAGTTTCTCTACAAAAGAAGCCTTTGAAAATGTTAAAAAAAAAAAAAAAAAAAGGAAGAAGAAGGCGGTGCAGCAATAGGGTGGCTGGAATAAAACATCATACTCACTTCACTACTTACCATCTCATCTACTCTCTGTGGGGGGGACACAGCATCACAGGGCACAATGACTCTCAGAGCACATCTAAATTTTTAAAACTGCTTGTTAAAATATAGGTTCCTAAATCTGTCTGAATCATTCTCATTCAAGTAATCTGATGGGTGGAGGTGTGGGGACAGTGGGGGGGGGTGGAAATCTGCATTTCACAACCACCCCCCAGGTAATTAATTCAGAAGCAAGGGGCCAAGTCTATACACCACACTCTGAGAAACAGGTAGCAGAGGACAGTGCTACTCAAAAAGAGGGCTGTAGGGAAGTGCTGGCCTGAGGAAGCTTTGCACATACAGGGCGAGAAAGGTACAGAAACTTAGTGTACGTAACTTTTACATGTTTAAGAATAATTTAATAATTTGTAAAATGGGGCTTGGATGGTGAATGCCCTTCTTTTCCTTTCATTCTCCTAGAATCCAGTTTTTTGTACTTTACAAAACTATTGATGCATGACAAACTGGGGGAAAACCCAGTTCTTTGCCACCAATAGTTTGAAAAGCTTTGGTTTTAGAGAAAGAGCTCACTCAGCTGTCATCTCAAAAACCTAGATTCTCATCCTGGCTTTTGTGCCTGTCAAGTTACGTGGGCTTAGGCCAGTTTATCAACTTCTGTGAGCCTTGTGTCTGCTTCTGAAAGTGTGGATAATAATGCCAAAAAGTTTGCTCCTGCAGGGTTGTGGTGACAATATAATGACAGATGTTATCAGTTTGTTTGGGCTTATAATTATCGAGCTTATACTATGTGCTATGGACTTCACAGTGAGTAAAGTCCCTGTAATTCGGAGTAAGTGCTGTCTGTCATCACCACAGGCCTCCCAGGGTCAATGCCCCGGTTCCTCTGAACTCTATCGAGTGGGAGCCGGCATGAGTCAAAACATTAATAATTTTGTAGACATGTTTGACAGTCTATTTTTCTCAGAGGTGCAGCAAAGATCGGAAATGTGATAAGCACCAAGAAACTTACAGCTAGTGAATCTGAGAAGGGAGGGAGGGGAAGCCATGAGAGAGATTCAGTGTCTGAAAAGCTGCAACTGTTTGCAAGTGTTTACCTGAGTGAGGACAAACCTGACTGCAAGGGGGGGTGACGGTGGGGACGGGAGATGCTCCCCAGATCAAAGCCCTGAAGATAAGTGAGCTTTCATTCCTGCCTGACCCAACTATGTGAGACGAAGGCTGCAAAAAGGGTCTCTGACCAGATACTAAATCTTTTCCCAGCCAGGCAGGCACTGATGGAGAAGATAATGAGGTCCTCAGAAACGCCCGAGTGCACGTCCCCAGAAGTTGTCTAAGAGCTTGGAAGACAGAACCTTGTGGGGATGCTGAGCCGGCACCACGTGCAGGCTAGTGGTCAGAACCAGCCTGGCGGAACATATAAGGAGAGCTCTGAACTCAGAACTAACAGAGCCACGACAAAGGGAAATCAGGGCCATTTGCTACCATTGTCAACCTTGACCCCTTCAGACAGATGTACATTTGTAAAAACTCTGCCTTCCTATCTGACAGGTCACAAGTAGGCTCCTTACATAATGCCCACTCCCCACCACAGCTCTGGCCCCAGCAGGCTTCACCCCCAGCCTCACCACAGGAAAGGCCAATCTGCACTCGGCTGCACAAATCAGAGGCAAGAGGAGGGGAGGGAGCACAAGGCCTATAGAGAGGCTTGAATAAACACAGCATCCTCCCGAGCAGCACACCCACCCCTCCTCGCTGCAACCTCCCCCAGGCTACAGCACACACTACCCCTGGGAGAGAGAAAAGAAAAGCCGGTGCTGCCTCCTCCGGAAGAGGAGCTCTGTCCCTTCCTCCTAAACTTTACTCGTCCCCACCACTCTCCTTTATTCCTGGGGTAATTTAAAACAAATGCCAGACTTTATTATCAATTCTCTCATACCAGCTCGTCACCGCTGAGGTTCCATCAAAAACCAAAACCCTCAGCTTTTTCACCACGGCTGCCGGCTGGCCTGGCAGCCAATGTGTCCTGGTCTGACCAGAGACCTTCACTGTCGCCTACCATAGCTTGGCTCCAAATTGGACCACAAGCTCTCAGGAGATGTGGGTCCACAGAGCCACTTTAGTGTTAGACTTTGGACTACGGGCAGCTCGGTGGTGGCAGCAGGAGAACAGAACCTCTGGATGGAGCCTTGCTGGGAAGTTTTGCTAATTGTGGCAGCTGGACAATGTTCCTCATTAGCATCTGTCTGTCAGCATGATCGTCATGTAACTTCATTGTGTTCTTGAGCCTAGTGGGCTTCTAGGCGAGATGTCCCATGACTCCACAGGGCAAGTATCAGCACCTGGCAAAGGTGGAGGATGGAGAGGCCAGTGTTACCTTCCCTGCCGTGACTCTGACATCAGTCATTGACAAGACAGATAAGGTCCCAGTGACCAAGGCTAAAGCCATCTATGGCATCATGAATTCTCTGATCATAAAACAGACCCAGAAGAGCATTCAGCGTTTTAAGCAACAGGCAAAGCTGAGAGATGCTGGCTCCACACCCCACAAGGGCCTCACCACCAAGGAGCCCAAGTCCCTTCGAGTGGCAGAAGCACTCCACAAATTAAAGCCACGGAGTGGAGAGGTGACGAACACAGAGAGCAGCCTGCGTCAGCCCAGGCCTCCCCAAGCAGCACCTCTCATTCTTCACCCAAGCGTAGACCCAGGGGCTGCTTCACTCCCAGTTCTTCCACAGAGTTACCTGGCCCAAATCCTAGCACCATGGACTCTGGAAGTGGGAATAAGAACAGAAACTCACCAGATAAATGGAGCTTCTCTGGACCAAGATCCCTCCAGAAGTATGATCCAGGAAGTTTTGCCACCCCAGCCTACCGAGGAGCTCAGAAACCCTCTCCAGTGGAACTGATCCGAGCCCAGGCCACTTGAGGGCTGAGGATCCAGCAGCCTTCAAGCCACCTAAGATGGACATGCCAGGGATGGGAAGAACAAAACAACCCCCATGGACCCATAATCTCAAACCCCGTGGCCTGGATGTGCTCACACCACTGGCTTCTAGAGCTCTTTCTGGTCCAGGGATTCTAGAGACCCACTTCCTTTTTACCTTGGCTCTGACATAGGAAAGGTATATTTTTAAAAATCTCTTAAACAGAGCTAGACCTGAAGTGGTTTTTAAAAAACATTAGTGCAGAGTTTGCCCTTATTGTGTGAAAGAAGTTTATATTGCTTTAAAGTTAGATCAAATCTCAGCAGCAGTATATGGGGACTTCATGATCTATTTTTGTATTATTTACCCTAGATAAGACCTTGATTATTGCTCAGCTCACTTAGGTAATTAATGTCTGTGCTGCTCTAAAAACACAGGCTTTTTTTTTTTTTTTTTGAGACAGAGTCTCAAGCTGTCACCCTGGGTAGAGTGCCATGGCATCACAGCTCACAGCAACCTCAAACTCTTGGGCTTAAGCCTTGCCTCAGCCTCCCAAGTAGCTGGGATTACTGGTGCCTACCACAACACCCACCTATTTTTTGTTGTAGTTGTTGTTACTGCAGTTGTCATTGTTGTTTTAGCTGACTTCAAACCTCCCAGCCTTGGGGTATGTGGCTGGCGCCCTACCCACTGAGCTACAGGTGCCGCCTAAAACACAGGCTTCTTTTTTTTATTATTATTAAATCATAGCTGTGTGCAACAATGCAGTCATGGGGTACAGTGTGGTGTTTTGATATACAATTTGAGACATTTTCATCAAACTGGTCAACATAGCCTTTATGTCATTTTCCTAGTTGTTATGTCAAGACATCTATATTCTACTTTTAGAAAGATTCACTTGTACCCTTGTAAGATAAACCATAGAGGTGATCGCTCCAATCACCCTCCCTCCACCCATCCACCCTCATCCCATCCTCCCCTATTTCTTAGGCTATAATTAGGTTATAGCTTTCATATGAAAGCCATAAATTAGTTTTTTAATAGGGCTGTGTACACTGGATACTTTTTTCTTCCAATCTTGAGATACTTTGCTAAGAACATTTTCCAGCTCCATCCATGTACACATGAAGGAGGTAAAGTCTCCATCTTTCTTTATGGCTGCATGCCCATCAACACATGAATGGATCAATAAATTGTGGTATATGTATACCATGGAATATTATGCAGCCACAAAAAAACACAGGCTTCTTGATCCTTCTTTCACCACTGTCAATGCGAACACTGGCAAATCATGGCAGATAGAGGTGCTCACTGACTAGTTTAGACAACTTTGGCCTCTTGACTGCTGGTATTGTGTTCCAGCCTGGTCAGGTAGGTGGGCCTAACATGTGTTTGAGAACTAGATATAGTTAAAAGCCACACTTGGCAGGGATCTTACTTTCCTGGCTGAAACTGGAGTCACCTTGTATTTTGGTAGACCTAATAGATACTTTATCCTACCACCAGTTCTTCACGTGGTACCTCTTGGGCCAGTGCTATTAGAGGAATTTTTATGCCACAGAACAAATACTAGTCTTGCATATCCTTTCTTCTACTTTAATGTGAGACTGATTCCAATCTGGTTGAAAACTTCCTAAGGGAGAAAACTCAACCTACCGATTTGATAAACGGATGTGAAGGTGGTAACTACAGTTACATTCTTGAGTTCATGTGAAAGTGACCTTATTCATCAGCAGATTAGGGCCTAAAACTTTGGGGGCGAGAAGGAAGAATTCAAAATTCTCTGTATGGAAGCATTTTCACCAAAATGGGCCTCATACCTTTATGCAGTACATACCTTACTGGGGAAAGGAGACAGGAAAGCTGCCTTTTCACTTCTCCTCGCTGTGTACATGGTCAGTCACTGTCCTGGGCACTGTCTCAGACTTATCTGGGCACACACACACACACAGGGTTCAACCAAAGAATATCTGAAAATACCAGTATATGTATGATAATTATATGTGCCGAGATGCCCGTATCATCTAATATCCAATTCACTTTCAATTTTTTACCAGTTCTCTCAAAACTGTCTTTTATACTAAACTGTTCACATGAAGAACCAATGTCAGCACACGTTGTTTGGATGACTCCCCATTTTCAACTCTCTTTGACTATATAACAGTTTCCCACTCCCTTATTAGTTTCTTTCTCATGGTATATGGTTGTTGAAGAAACCAAGTTGTGTATCCTGTGGACAGGTTTGTGTTCCGAGTCTGGCTAATGACTTCCTCACGGTTAGTATAGTCCTAACCACTGTGGTTACACAGTACAAATCCACTGTGGTTCTTGTAAACTGAGTGTTAGATTTCAAGGCTTATTGAGATATAGTGGTTTCAAGTTCAAGGGTTCTCTCGATTTTTTATAGTATATATCCGAAAGGATCTAAGTCCTGGTAATCTAAGGGAGTTGGGGTGGAGGAATAGCAGGAAGGGAGCTGAGCTCTGCTTTGTAGTGGTCCCAGAGCCTGTGAGAAGCACAGCACTACTCCTAACAGGTCACTAGCTCAGCAAGTGCTCACTGTCTACTGAGAGCCAGGCTGGAGACTCAGCAGCACAAAAACCCACCAGACACCCCCAGCCCCTGGCACTGGCCTTCTAGGGACAGGTAAATAAAGATGCAACCAAACTAACACTGTATGTGGTGCCTTGCAAGAACATAAATACTATGCAGAAAGAGGAATAGTGACAGCTTGGGGGAAACAGGGTGGAGGAGATTTAAAGTGGATGTCCAGAGAAAGGCTTAGAGATGAAGGTCCCCTTTGGGTTCAAGAGCCCTGAGTTGATGACAGTTTGGCCTGAAATTCCTAGAGTCCTGGAGCTGTGGTTCTGCCGCTCCCTCTGTACCTCTGGGCCATTACTGGGTGGTAGACTCCCTGGGTTGTGGAAGAGTCTGTGTTAATTGGGGACTAAAGAGCAGTACATTGACTCATCAAGCAAGTGTGCCGTAGGCTGAACTGGCATTGTGCCTTCCTCCAGGCAAGACCTGGCTACCCTCACATTCTGCCCAAGGCCACTTCCTGTGAGCTTTCACAATCTTTATGGCCTCTATTGATGATCATTGCCCCAGATCAATTGAATCAGAATCTACAAAGGATAATATTGGGCATTTATATTTCAACGATGCTTCTTACATGATATTAATGCCCAGGCAAGATAGAGGAACAATATTCTAAGTGGTTCCTCTCCCACACACCTCTCACCTGGGTGACTATGAGACTAGGTGTGGGAGGGCAGAGGAGGGGTGCTCTGTAGCTTTGAGGATGAACTTGGACAAACTTTTCTACTCCACATCCCCATCCCCTTTCTCTTTGCATGATGCCACATTTGGCCTTGGGCTGGTCCTTGGAAAGGTATCAGTTAACAGTCATCACTTTGGTGACTTTAAAGGGAGGTGGCTACACTTTCGTGATTCTGGCATTTAGGAAACGTCAAGGAAGATGGGCCCTGACTTTCTCCTGCCCAGACTGGTTACACTTCCCAGCACGATCCCCAGCCCTCAGGTTTCTGGAGGAAACTGTATTTAAGATGTTAGTAGACACCATTGTTCCTGCCATGGCCCTCTGAGGCCACCACTATGGTGTCCTTTCCATACTGTAGCTAAAAAAGATGAATCTCCAAGAGGCTAAAGGACTTCTAATAAATGGCAGAGCCAAGACTTGAATCCAAACTGAATCCCAACATGCCCTCTTGATGCCTTCTGTAACACAATCTTCTTGTTTGACTCAGTGTCTCTCTTAGCCACAACTTTGCCCACCTGACCCCAGAAACAAAGGACTACAGCTGATGAGGATGTTCTCAAGGCAGAAGCACACGCTGTAGTGCCAAGCACTTGACATCTTATACCACTGAATCCTCCGACAGCCTTGGGTCACTGCTGATAGTACAGTTGACGCCTGGAATTTACAGAGTCAACATTTGGCATTTTGACGATTTGAGAACAACCCCAAAGATCCTAGACATGAAACAGAAGTAATTATGAAGTTTGTACAACAGAAAGCTGATAGGAGCCAGTCCCTTAGTATATAAGAGAGCTCACATCCAGGCCGGGACCCAGGGTGCAGGGGATAAGTGCACCCCCACCATGTATCAGCAAGTGATAGAAATAACCATTTGCTTGGGAACCATGATTCCCAAAGAAATCAAACTGCTAGCCCATGCTAAGGAAATTCTAGACTCAATAATGAATTTCTTTTAATAGATGTAGAAATTTTATAACTCTATATTTACAAAATCAATGGGATAGAAATGATTCAAATTTTCAGTTTTACTTGGTTGCATATGAGTGTCGGGGAAATTATGTGCTCTGGCAGTGTATCTGATTTCCTCATCTGTCAAATGAGAACAGAATGCCTCACCTTAGGCTATTGTATGCAAAAAACAACATCAAGTAACAATGAAAAGGATGTTGATTCAAGAATTCTCAAAGATCTCAAAAGAAATCTGTTATGAATGTCAACCTTCTGATATGTGTTTTCAACATCTTACAGGAACAGAAGTTGGGAGAGGCCGGATGACTTGCCCAGGAATGACTGGCCATAAAGCCAGTGAGCTTCCATTGCCACAACCCAAGAACAAGCCATCAAAATACTTCCAATCATGGAATGTGATTTATGAGAATAGCAGAAAAAGGATGCCCATAAAAGAGAGAGCTATTCCTGGACTGCCCAATCTCTCTCCCTCAACCCTGGCCACCAACTCCCTTCTCTCCCCTAACCCTGGGAATGGCAGAGTTGGGAGCTTATCTATTTTAACCACATCTGCTCAAATCAATCAATTCAATAAAGAGTCAATAAACTGTGAGCTCAGAACAGTGTCTAGAGAAAACCATTATTCCTCCTGCCCTCAAGAGGCTATCAGTCTCAAATACCATGAGGAATCAGACAAGTACTTCATCCACGAATTACTTTGTCTATTTGAGCCATCTAGTTATCTATATGCCCAGAGCCCAGGTCACTGCCTTTGTTCTGCTTCATTCACCAACAGAGTGAATGTTTTCTCCTTGCAATGAAGGTGCTCTTAGCCAGAGAGGAGGACCCAGGTGAGCTAAGATTTGATCCAATCTGAGATCAAAGAAGCTTCATGGATGGGTGAGAGTTCAGCACCCCCAGGAAAGTCCCGGGGGTGAGAGGGAAGAGGCATGGAGGAGGGCCAGGGCAGGGTCAGCCACAGCTGTTGTGCAGAGCTAAGCTGCACAGCTGAAGCTGGCTTTGCTGTGTGGCATTGTAAGTACCAGGTGGAAGAGGCTAGCATCCATTAGGTATGTAGTGGAGCAAATAAAAAGCCTCAGGACAGAGGAGGTAAGTGAGGTGCCAGTGGGGGAAGAGTGCTGTGTGGGTTCCACAGCAGCAGGGGAGGCAGGATGCAGGCCGGCTTCCCATAGCACCCCCTCTCCACTGCCACAAAATAAGTGACCTGCAGGTGAATAAGCACCATTGCTTATTGGACTCATACTACTTGCTGGGCACTCTCCCAAGCAACTGTTTAATCTTCACAACCACCCCATAAGGCAGGTAAGGATGAACTTATAAGTGAAAAAACAGAGGCTCCAAGAGATCATGGATTAGCCCAAAATCACTCCACTTTTAAGAGGCAAAGGCAGAATGTCAACTCGGATATGACTCAGGGACCACAAGCCAAGCAAACCACTCCCACCCCACCCCTGCCATGCTGAAAAGATGAGACTCAAGACTGAGAAGGGAAGAGAACCCCCAACAAGGGCAGTTTGGCAGAGTGGACCTAAGTTTCATTCAGACCAAGGTTTGGAGTCAGACAAATCCAGATTTGAATCCCAGGTTTATATTATCCAATCATTGTGCCACTTTAGGCAAATGACATGAACACTCGGTGTCTCAGTTTCCTCATCTATGAAATGTGTGCAAAACCACCTACCTCCCAGGGCTGCTGTGAGGGTTAGAGGTAAGGGCTGTGCAGGGCCTGGCAGGTGCTTCAGGACAGTAGCCAGAAAGCTTGGCCCTGGCAGGAAGCACAGGACAGAGGACAGGAGGCTGGGCCTCGTTTGACTGCTGTTGGGTGGAAGATGTCCTCAGTTCTTACAGGATGCAATGAAATTTCTAGAAGTGTCCAGAGTCAATATTTGTCTTTGGCAAAACACGGGACCTCAGTCTTCATCTCAACACAACTAATATTTGACACTTAGCATTCGTTATTCCAAACACTGCTCCACCGCAAAGAGAACAGGAATGTGCGACTCTCAAGGGAGCCAGAGGCAAGGGGGTGTCCCTGGGCAGACCAAACAAAGAGAACAGCCAAGGCTCAGCTATGAGGTCCCCCAGCTCTCTAACAAATCACTGTGCGTGCTCAGAAAAGTCACCATCCTGAGTTTCTGCTTTCTCACAGAAAAGGTGGCTTAAAAATCCCTACCTCTCAGAGTTTGGGAAGGGCAAGGGAAAGGAGAGATGAGAGGAGCTTTTACACTGCGCAAGTAAAATGTCTGTTCTTCTAAACTTCTCCAGGACAGTCTGTCGTGTCATCCCTTCCACAAAGCCAGTGAATGAAGCTTGCAGATAAAGCGCTCTCCCATTCTAATGAGATGAAAGAAATACTGTTTGAGAAACACTTAATCTAATAAGGTTTTCCTCAATTATGATTTGAAATAAGTTATAACTGGTAAAAATAAAATCATTTCTGTGTGTTCATATAGAGGAAGACATACCACGACATTCTCTCAGACCTCAGCCACCTCTTGGACCCCTGTGCAGATGGCCGGTGACAAATTCCTGCTCTCATTCACACAGAGAAGGGGACTTCCTGCCTGAGAGAGGAAAGTTTAGTAGATGTAACTCCTTACAAAAAAAGCCTGCTGACTCTTTTCTCTGGATTTTTCCTCAATTTAGAAAGTAGGCCAAACTCATCCCACCTCCCAGCCCGT